TGTAAAACTAAAAAAAAAAAACAAAATTGCCCAAGTTACTTTAATTTGGAAATTATAAATTTGTGTGGACAAGCCGATTATGTAGGTGACAGGCGGCGTGATTCATGTGAATCGTACATCTTTCTCGTTTCGATAATGCAAATACGCAATACACTCCTCACTTTCGAGTTAAAGTTTCGAATTTTTACAAACGCGCCGTCGAGTTTCGCATTCCGCCTGCTTTCATCGCGTCCCCGGCGCTCATTCGTTTCACGTTAATAATTGCTCTTGATCCTCCGCTTCGTCAAGATGACGCGGAAAATGGAAAATCGTTCGCGCATCCCCCGCGATCGAAACCGTCTTCCTTACAGCGAGAACAAGGACGGCGGTGTAATGAAGCTTGAGAGGGATGAAATGGGCACGAGCGCGCGATTGTGTGCCGCATGTGAGCGTGACTTGTATCGGGTGTAATCGGTTTCCTCGGGGAATCCCACCCTCCCTTTCTCTGTCTCACTCCGGATACGGCGACGTACACCGGGGGGATAATTTGCGGCGTCTCGACGCGGCTGCGTGGTCCAATCCGCGATACCAGCCAATCGGCTCTCAGCTGCGCGGAGAGTCGAACTGAGAACAAAAGGATCCCTCGCTCCCTCTCTCTCGCTTTCTCTCTCTCTCTCTCTCTCTCTCTCTCTCTCTCTCTCTCTTTCGTCGATAGAGAGGCGGCTGCAATCGCCATGCAGGCAACGACAAAAACGACCACCGCGTATAATCCGCGCGCATGGCATCGATTCCACCCTCAGCGAAAACAAAAGCCGCATTCGGCACTTCGCAATTCCTGGGCTCGATGATAGATCGGCGACTCTTTATAGCGATTCTTTTAACAAAACGATTGTATCGCCGCAGTATACACCAATTCCGTGAAACTTATATATATATATATATATATACAGTGTTTCAGGAAATATAAATCTTAGACAAAATTCAACGAAAATATAATGTGCTTGGAAATTAAATTATTTTCGCAGAGTCGTTAAAATGACGATTGTGATTCGATTGCCAACTTTTTTAAAGCGTACACTTAAGCAACTTTTACGAGCGTATGTCGGAAAATTGTTCTCCTTTCTTCGGCGATAACTTTATAGCCGACATAAATCGCGCGACGAGTCGGAAGGAAGGCAAGGAGACGTTCAATATCAACAGTTTTGCAATTTCAGGTGGCAAAGAGGATGATCCTAAAAGCTCGTCCTCGAGTTCCTTGGGCTCCGCGCAGAGTAAGAAGCAGCGTAAAGCGCGCACGGCTTTCACGGATCACCAGCTTCAGACCCTCGAGAAGAGCTTCGAGCGACAAAAGTACCTCAGCGTGCAGGACAGAATGGAGCTGGCGGCGAAATTGCAGCTGACGGACACGCAAGTGAAAACGTGGTACCAAAACAGAAGGTAAGCGAGACGGAAGATGCGTTACGAATTTCTAAACGAGGCTACTACACGACATATGCGAACAATAATCAATTTGATGGGTCATTATCTAAACGGTCGCGATATGATAGCAGTTTCTCGTGTTTATGAATTCGTTCGGGATTGACGAGCCATAACTAACATACGATGATAGATGATGAAAATGTATCGATTAACTTTGTAACATTACACGATTTGTTTAAGATAATTTTTTTTTTTTTTAAACATCGATAAAATTGAAACATAATTTTCGCGAAACACACACATATGTCGTTCCGGTTTTTCGATAGAGAGTTTCTTATTAAAATTCTGAGATTTTTATTGAAAGATAATTACTGAAAGTGCCTCCCTTTGGGCGCGATCGACTGCGTGATGAGGCTGCGCATAAAAACTTATGAATAGCCGCTAAAGGTTTGAAACTCTAAAGAGACAAAAGTGGAACGATCGATCGACCTTTCGATGCTCGCGTTACATTGTTGAATATCGGATAGAAAGCTCCTCATCACGATCCCCCGATCTCGGAAGCATAGCGGCGCGCTCCTTTGTGCTGGCGCGTGTCGAATTCGTAAATGGAAATCGCGGCGGCCAACAAAGGCGTTGTTTACGTGGTTAAACGCGAGGATCGTTGGCCAAAACCTGAGCAAATATCTCGAGAGTCATGTGCCTCCGTTACCGGTTTTACAGCATATCCCAATCTTAAGAATATCGTCCTCGTCGACACTTTAATAAGCCAAGAATAACTTTGATCGTCGACACACAAAGGCAAATTTTTTTCTCCGAATTGAGAAGATTGTAATTAAAAATTATATAATTGAATAAGAACGATTTCGAAGAAGATTAAGCAATCGCTGAAACAAATATGTACTTTCTTTTTGTGTGAATCTTCAATGCGACTGAAAAGAATTGATACTCGGTTACAGAATTTTGTGTACAGGATTTTTTCTACTGGATTTTGTACACAAGACAATTTTCTTGAATTTATTATATTAATTTATCAATATTGAAACGGAGACCTAGATATGGCGATCTGATCTAAAACTAGGAAACAGCTGTTTGATATTGGCTCGTCGTCGATTCCCTTACGAAAGTAAGACCAGGCGGTTGGAATCGATTTCAAAATCCTGCGCGGTATCCTTTGTAAATGCAGTTTCGTGGAGTCATCCAGTGGCGCCTGTAGTTTCGTGCTCGTGATTTTTCATGGACCATCCACCTCTTTCCAATCCAATCATCAAGCTCATTGGCCGGCTCACAAGCACCGCGTCAAAAGTTTGCCCAAGCAAAATTAAAATTGTATGCCCGGATGTTCTTTTGGAATCATTTCGACACGCTCCGTCCTAAGTAAACGAGTGTAACATCGGCGAGAAAAGTTTCATACAATTTTGTACAGTTCTTCTTGCCCAAAAACAACTGCAAGATAAATAGCCTGATATTTTTTAAATTCTTTACAATATAATCCCATAGTTTTTTATAGTTTTATTCATTAGTAGATTAGAAACATATTTAATGTCTCTCTAATAGAGATACGAAAACCTCTTATTCAAATAATTAAAAAAAATTAATGCCTTATTACTTTTGTAGTTTTATAAATTCGACGACTTTTCACGTCTTTATTTTGTACGTTTCTATTCCAAAGATATTCCCACAGCTAAAGTTCCGACGAATAAAATCTCAACGCTGCGCTTTCGCGCGCGATGCGCAAAGTCCGCGGGCCGGCTATATTAATCGCGCTATGCACTAATTATCATTATTCTCTTATTCCCTTCGTCGCGCTGAAACGTACGGTGATTAGCAGGAAACACCCACGAGTCATGACTTCGCGACTTCTACCGTCGGCCGTTTAGTTTAGACAAGCGGCCGATCGTGCACAAAGAAGGCGAATCGTTAATGAGGATCCTCGTAGATCGTGATGTACGATGTACGAAAGGACGAGGCGGGGGGCGAGGCGAGCGCCAGACTCTCTAGACTGTGTCATTAGACTGTCAATTACCGGTGGAGCGAATGGCGTAATGACGGGCAGCGGGGCTGCCAAGCGTTGCGCCGCGCCGATCGTGAAGGACTACCTGCATTTCGGTGGCCGTTCAATTTTTCAAGCGTAATTGCGTGCCGCCGAGAGTCCACGATTTTCAAAGACGCTGCTCGTTTCCCATATCATGGCGGCCGGCCGGCGATCCACGCAACATCGCAACTGTGCGCGGTGTAATCGTTACGGCTATTTATTTTCTACAGCCGGCAGTTTGCTCGCTCATTACGCCGGATCGGCGTAATGGACAACAGTGATTAAGGATAGCTTTTGATACAGAATACTTTGCAATGCGCGAATTACTGTTATACATCGTTATTTTTGCCAAGTTACGCTTATCATCGCGCCAATCAGGAAATAACGCTGACTTTTGTCTATTAGTGTCGAATTAAAAACGTGAATCAGCTCGGCACGAACAATCTCCCGCCAATAATCGATCAATTCTTAAACGTTACTTTCTAAGTGGCTCGAAAGAGTGCAAACAGTTTTTTTTCACATTTTTTTTTCATTGTAAAATAAATTGTTTTTTTTTTGCAGCTTGAGAATTTTTATAATAGACTTTCGATAGATCTAATTGTAATTACAACAATAATCGTACGTGAAACGCACGCAAAATAATTATGCTCAAACGTCAGAATAATTAAACTCGGCACTTACGGCACTCATATTAATTGCTACACGTTTCAAATACTAAAGTGCAAGGTACCGTATATCGCGCGCTGCATAAATTACAGATCAGCATGACGCGTGCCTTGATCTTTGTACATGCCTCGTGCAATACTTCGAGCCGTGAAATCCCCGACGTAGCCGGCGTAACGACGCGCTAATTAATTTTCGCCATATTGACATTCAGTCGCGTTTAATTATGGCGAAAATGAGAGAACCAACGGGGCCACGGAGGCACGTGTGCGCCGCGGTCGTGTCGTCGCGCGAGAGGACGCGAGGAGGTTAGGAAGCGAGGCGGAGAGGAGAGGAGAGGCCGCGCTCGGCAAAAAGTCGGGAAAATTAGTGACGCTCCTGACGGGCGGCTTCTTAAGTGCCCGCTTAAAGTTTTGTTGCTCGGTGCACGCCTCGATGCAGTGTGACTCGGCGCTTCTTCGCGGAGGCGCCGGCCACACCTCGGGCGCCACGACGACGGACTCTGCTCCCTTTTTCCCTCATCTCGGCTAAACGCTCGCCGAAAACATAAGCTGTGTGCTCTTCCGATGCCAACAGCGGCTTATGAGAGACGCGCGTGATATTTGGAGCCGTGTTGAAATAAGCGGAGAAATGCTGCTTCTTTGCGCCGTGCTCGATAAACTTTAAGCGGATTTCAGTGCAAACTTGAAAGATTGCACTTTGACGCTTGTTATTCGGTGCTTTAGAAAAATAGAGTGTAGCAGAAAATAAATAAACGTATTCTATTAACGATGAATAATTCATGGACGTCATGATGGACGACAATTACGGGGTAATTTCCTTCGATATATGTGGATTTATCGAATGACTGTTCTTTATTGCGTTATTTCTATTCCCACGGACGTCTTATTTAATCGTTCATCAACTATCGTCGTGGGCGTTAATTATAGTATTCAATAATGTATTGTGTGAATAATACAGGCGCGGTCTTCCTTTCATTTATTTTTTTTTCACTGATATAAATGATGAAATAAGATTTATTTAAACTGTGTAATAATCGATTTACTCTAGAAAAAAAACTTGCGCATTTATTTAAAGAAGACATATGATGAATAGCTTTGAAAACGTTAACGTTCCTGCCATTTTCTGTTATATGCGTCTCATTCATCGGATGATCAACTAACACGCACGCACCTCAATCGCACGTAAATTACGTTCAACAATGAGTCATCTGAACGATTGCATGATATGTACACACACACACACGAACGGTATTCATGATCGACCGCGATGTCTTTCCGCACGAAACTTTCCGTGAAATCGGCGCCGGGAGACTAAACGCGCGGAGATTGCGGTCCGCCTGCAAAGCGCTTTTCCAGCGATAAGCGATACGCTCCTCGCTTTTCCACGCGCACACACACACACACACACACACACACACACACACACACACACACACACACACACACACACACACACACACACACACACACACACACACACAGATGCGGTCGGTCGTTTAGTTGTTTAGAAGTCATTAGGACTCGTTACGTTACTCGCAGCAAATCGTCTCTACTTATCGGCTAATTACGTGCTCGGCCATAAGCGAGCCGCGCAAGTAGCGTGCAGTGCTAACGTTGACGAAGCATGCGTCTCTTTCGATCTTTAATATCGGCGGCGCTTGCTCAGCTCAGAAACTGCATTTTAATGAAACACACCACGAGACCCGCGCGTTTATACCATTCGTAATGCACGCCGAGATTTATGCGTTCGGACGCATGACTTGTGCAGCCGCGGAGGATTAGCGGCGGATATCACTGCCACCTTGCCGTGATTAGTGAGAAGCGCGACCTTTGCGCGCATCATGTTCCTTTCTCTGACTATGTATTCAAACCTTTTCTTATTAATATTTTCGAATTTGACGAAAGAAAAATATTTCTGCCTCAGATTTCTGCTGCGAAAACTACGTTTTTTTTTTTTGTTCCACAACAATTTTGATTTGACGGATAAAAGAAAGCAAGACGAATGTGTGTGTGTAATATTTTCAAACTGTAATTGAGACGACAGGTTAGAGATAAAGGTCTCGCATTGAAATCAGAATGTGCGAAAGAGCCTTTTCGAGGCAACGTAGCTGCGAGAGACAAAATGCACGGAATATACAGAGTCGGTGGCATTTGCATCGTGTCGTCGTCCGCGTTGTTGCGCTCACGCATATGCACTTACGGTCTCCCGCATTCGTTGTCCCATCTTTTGCACGTTCCACGCGACTGTGCGCGCGAGAGAGGATCCTGCCCTCGGGACGTGACTCGTAATTCTAGAGTATTATGCGGTAGCTTGTACTTTT